GGAACATTGAAGTCCTCCATCACTGAAGCAAGCAAGCCTCATGTTCACTTCAAGCTGCCTGGCTGCCAGCTGCCATCTTGGCTGGCAGTTAATTTACATATCACCCTGATTAGCCAATGGGAAGGGTAGCGGAAGTATGGCTAATTACCATGTTTCTCTTTTATTAGATAGGATATTATACAATGAAAGTCATCAATCAAAAGAGCTGAAAGCAAAACATTCTAACTGACAAAACAGTCAGTTATCTGACTGTGACTTAGACTGTATGAAACAGAAAGGAGACAAGTAAGTGGGACATACTGAGCAAGAAAAAAAATACCGTATTTGCCGGCTTATAAGATGACTGGGCGTATAAGACGACCCCCTAACATTTCCACTCAAAATACAGAGTTTGTTATATACTCGCCGTATAAGACTACCCCCTCTTCCGCACACCTTCCACACACCAAATAAAAGGTAAAACAATATCAGATTTGATTTTAACATTTTAATTTATATTCAAATCCTGATGACATGCAGGAAAACTGTCACAAGGCTGTATGTAATCAAACATATACATAAAACAGTGCAAGTTTATTACCGGTAAACATACCGGTAATTCACTAAAGAAAACACACTCTATAGACTGGTACCGTAGATGCCTCTCAGGAACACAGGCAAGCAGCCCACAACCTAGAGGGACTGTCAATGATAGAAGTAAGATAACAAATAGAGGGAGAGAGCAAGTGCCGGGCAAGTCCCTAGCAAGTTTGCTGGCATGACAGTTTCACCTTAAAAGCCTTCAAACTCCTCTTCATCATCTGATATTAAAAGTTCATCAACAACATCTTGGTGCCATGATAGGGATGATAGGGGTTTGACTGGTCGACATTTTCTATGCTGTACTGTACAATGGGGCAGTATTGTGGTTGGCTGTTGGCTGTATACAAAGCCTGATTTGATTGGTCCCTGCTCCCTGTTTGCCCGCCCTGTCACTATAGCAGTCTGGTCCACCCTTGCATCAGCATCTCCCTGGGACCTCACTAGTGCGCAAGTGCGAGCTCTTCAACATTCTAACAGGCACCATGATAGCGCAAAATTGCGAATCTTCAATGCATATGTAAAGAAATATACGGTAACCCGAATTTACCACACTCGCAAAATCGCACACAGCCAACCATACACCCAGTATGGTATCGCGATTCGCGATTTTGCGCTATCATACTGGGTGTATGGTCGGCTGTGTGCGATTTTGCGAGGGTGGTAAAATCGCATAACAGCAAAATCGCATAACAGCCGAGCATACACCCAGCAGCGCTGCTGATGCCTGAACGGTATGTGGAATGAAGTGGGCGGGCATCGGGAGGCCACTATGGCACGGGGCAAGCACTATGGGCAGTCTATCTGAAGTGTACCTGGCGTATAAGACGACCCCCCACTTGGAGGCATATTTTTCAGGGCCAAAAAATCGTCTTATACGCCGGCAAATACGGTAATATAGGTACAAATTGAGAGGAGCTTGAGTAAGTCAAAGAAAATAATGAGAATTCATAGAGCTAACTTCTAGTCATATAATGCACCTAACCATACTTGTGGACCTCAGGAAAATAACACCTTTCTCTACTCATCTAGATTAATTGTTCTCAGACAGCATTCAAAACAAAATAAGATCCATCAATGGAAAAATATCCTTGGGTGAATATTAACAAAACAAAACAAAAAAAAAAGATCCGACAATTTAACTCTTACTTCCTCCTAAAAAATGTGTTTGTCATGTGATCTTAAAACTAGGGATTCTCAAGTAGAAGTCCAAGGTATAAGGTACAGCCAATCAAATTTAGAAAACATACAGCAGGAGGACAACTTTTTTATATTAACAATTTAACTTGATAAGATTACTTTTAAAATTATTCCTCACCCTAACTGGTTTGGCTCAGTGGATAGAGCATCAGCCTGCGGACTGAAGGGTCCCAGGTTCAATTCCAGTCAAGGGCATGTACCTTGGTTGTGGGCACATCCCCAGTAGGGGGTGTGCAGGAGGCAGCCAATTGATGTTTCTCTCTCATCGATGTTTCTAACTCTCTATCCTTCTCCTTTCCCCTCTATAAAAAAAAATCAATAAAATATATTTTAAAAAATAAATAAAGTTATTCCTCAAAAAAAAAATCTTGTCCCAGCCCGCATGGCTCAGTGATGAACCAGGAGGTCAAGGTGTGATTCCCAGTCAGGGGACATGCCTGGGTCAATCCCCAGTGGGGGTGGGGGTGTGTAGGAGGCAGCCAATTGGTGATTCTCTCTCATCATTGATGTTTCTGTCTCTCCCTCTCCTTTCCTCTTGAAATCAATAAAAATATATTTTTAAAAAATTGTGAATGAAAATGTAACCTAAAGGAAAGCACAAAATCAAATCTTGATTTTATAAATAGACTAGAGACCCGGTGCACAAATCTGTGCATCAGTGGGGTCCCCTCGGCCTGGCCTGCGGGATCGGGCTGAAACTGGCTCTCCAACATCCCCCAAGGAGTCCCGGATTTTGAGAGGGTGCAGGCCAGGCCGAGGGACCCCACTGGTGCATGATCAGGGACGGGGAGGGACGCGGGAGGTTGGCCAGCAGGTAAGGGACCAGAGGAGGACTCCAGGGTGTGTCCAGCCCATCTCGCTCAGTCCCAATCTGCCGGACCCCAGCAACAAGCTAACCTACTGGTCGGAGCATCTGCCCCCTGGTGGTCAGTGCACGTCAGAGCAAGCAGTTGAGCGGCCTTAGCATATCATTAGCATAGTACGCTTTGACTGGTTGACCAGACACTTAGCATATTAGGCTTTTATTATATAGGAAGGATGGCTGAACAAAGTGGTACTTTCCAGTTTTTCTATATGCTAGAGAAACAGGAGTGCAGAGTAGGTATTAATCAAGAAGGTGTTAGTATAGTATCGGAACCATACATACTATGAGAGAAAGTTAATTTGATGATGTTAGAGATAAATGAGAACTAATTCATAATGAGTAGATTAAAATGGGTTAATATCATGATTAGACTATTGGACCTTAACCATTTGGTCAGGTGTTTTATAAATTTCAGGTACATATAACGTTAACCATTGACCTCCAGACAAATATTTCCAGTAAATCTTCAATTCTGAAGCAACACAGCAACCACAAGCAAACACAAAGGAAGTTTACCTGCAGTAGGATCTTTGGCCAATGAGTTATCCAAAGCACTTGTTATTGCCTGAAAAAGGTTCATTTTCTGAGTTTGTCCTGTAAAAATAAAAATTTTAAATTACATTTCATACATAGTAAAATATATAAAAATAACTCATTTCTTAATAGTTGGTTACAACTTGATTAAAATCAAGGTAGAAAGGAAGGTAGAGAACACATTACATTAATTTATTGGATTATTTAAAATGATGGTAGCTCTATAGAAGATAAAAAAGCAACACAGACTTCAAGAGGGCTGTTGAAGAGGCAAAATTTACACATATTAAACAATTAAAAAACAAGTATAAAAAAAGGAAGAAGGCATATAATCAAGTGACCGAATGTGTGTAGAAAATAAATAAAGGCTAAGCAAAGTCAGGAAAGTTTGCCAGCCAGAGTGAGCGTGGCCTGGGAAGGTGCCCTAAGGGGTGTTGGGAACATAAGCCATAGGAATGCACATGCCCACAGAGGCATGTGTTAATTATGCCAATGAAAGCAAATGGTCATGGGCCATAAAAAAAATAAGGAACACTAACAAAAAACTTTAGTACCCAGAACTGCTGGTGTTTGGAGAATATAGAATCCCAGGCCTAAACAAACCACACTTGGTTCTTCCTTTTATCTTATTGCTCCAGTCAGAATCTCTGCAAGCCAACCTCCATCTCCCTAAATGGGTTAAATGGATCAGTACATGTAAAGCACAAAGAACAATACCTGACACAGTGAGTGCTGAATAAATATTAGTTATTTATTATTAGATTCTGGACTTTGTCCATGTCCTTCATCTTGGCCTGGGCATTATTCTGAAGGGTACAAAGCTTTATTTGATAAAGTTCCAAATGTTGAAATTCAAAAACATGATGACTTCAGAGCTATGACTTAGGCCTTGATGCTGCCCAGTGACCATAGTCATCCTATAACTTTGGGTCCACTCCTCTCCAAAACCACTCACTATTCAGAGCAGAGAATGGCTTCTGCCTAAATCTTCTCTGACCCACAGGCCCAGTCTTCATTTTAGTGCCCATCTATGCACTGGTGCTCACTTTAGCCCATAGCCATGCTGATATCAAATCCCTTCAACACCTGTTGCCTACCCTGACTACTGCCCCATCTAATCTCTGTGCTCCTCAGTAGCCTGGTGTGTTCCAAAATCCAGGTTCTAATGCCCACATTGGGACACAACAGCTACTGCTATTGCCTTCAACCCTCTAGGCACTGATCACTCTTTTTTTTTTTCTAGAAAAAATTTTTTCCATGGCTGGCTCTCATCTATGACATCTTGAATTTTCCATTATCTACTGACACACAGCCTACTGTTTCTCTATCTAATCTAACCCCATCAACACCGCTTCGTGCAGGTCTTGTTGATCCCCAATCAGATCTTCCCTGCTGCCCTCCTGGCCAGAATAAAGACCTGTTTCTACTCTTATTTTTGATAGAGATAACAGGAATTTATTAAAGAAAATATTGTTATATCAACTATGTCAAAGAAAAAACAATCACACCACATGTCCATAATTTATTTTTCTTCAGGCTAAGGCTATATCATTTAATAGATACTTTCCTTAAAGTATCTATTAATGCAGGACACTAATAATTAAGTATTTATTAGTGTCCTGCACCAGATAATAATAGTTTAGGTTAAATTTTTTTCCCAACAACCATGGCATTCCCACTCTTTCTCCTATTTCATACATTTCCTAAAGCAAGATTTTTATTTGTCAATTAGGATTTTCATAGGTAATACCTAGGAAGATGAAAAATGCCTAAACATCTACGCTGCTATTTATTTCAAGTCCGCTAACCATTAAAATTAATATTGAATGTTTCATTGCTGCTCAGCAAATTTCCAGTGGGAAGAAAGCAAAGATTTTAATAGTAAAAATCATACCAAGGAAATTTAGAAAGTATTGCTTGATAGCCACAAAGAATTTACTCATCTTATATGAAAATAATTTACAAGGTTATTTAAAGGTTATATTTCCATGTAAGCACATAAACTTTCACTCCTGAATACTTTTTTCAAATAAATTCAAAATTTTAGGGTTTTGGATTAACTGCTATTCTACCAGATGCTTTTAAAAGTTTTAAATGTCAATATTTTACTGATTTTTGAGAGAGAGAGAGAGAGAGATTTGTTGTTCCACTTATTTATGCATTCACTGGTTGATCCTTGTATGTGCCCTGACTGAGGACTGAATCCACAACCTTGGAGCATTGGGACATTCTAAACACAGAGCTACCTGGCCAGGACAGACAATTTAAAAAAATTTTTAAGTAACTTATTTTTACAGTTGTACAATATTATATTAGTTTCAGGTGTTCAACCCAGTGATTAAACATCTATATAACTGAAGAGTGATCACCCCAATATTTCTAGTACCCACCTGGCACCATACATCGTTATTAAAATATTATTGACTATATGTTACATCCCCATGATTATTTTATAGCAACCAATTTGAACTTCTTAATCCCTTCATCTTTTCCACCCATCTGTTCCAACATCCCTGCCACCTGGCAACTATCAACATGTTACTAAATGACAATTTTTAATACAGCAACATCTACTTTCAATTCTTTTTAAAGTTGTAGTATGTTTTGTGGATGGCTCAGGAAGAAATGACAAGTTATTCACAGGTAAGATCATTTTAAATATCTAATTTCCTTATAACTACTTATTCTCCTACTGGTGGCCCAGTGCATGATTTGTGCACATTGAAAGGAAAATAATTAGAAGAAATATTTTAATATTGCTATTTGCCCTTTCTCTGTAATGCGACAGTGGTTACCACCTGCGGGGTGATCGGCGGGGCAATCATCAGGCTCCCATCTGGCTCCCTCAGTGCCTGGGAGACGGGCAGTGGCCCCACCTTCCTCCCCCTCCCTTCCCCACCCCGCTGGTTGATGTCTGTGGGGCAATCAGCAGGATGATCGGGCCCCGCTCGCACGCTCCTTGGCCTGGCACTGCCCGGTCACCTGCTCCACCATCCTGCCACAGTCCCACTCTCATTGGGGCCCATTAAGGCCGGCAGCACCTCCACAGCCACCTGCTGCCCTCGCCTCTTCACCAACGCCTTTAATATTGCTATTTGCCCTTTCTCTGTAATGCGACAGTGGTTACCACCTGCGGGGTGATCGGCGGGGCAATCATCAGGCTCCCATCTGTCGCCATGTTCTGTGCCACCACCTGGTGGTCAGCGCACATCATAGCAAGCGCTTAAACTCCCAGTTGAATTCACAGTCAAAGGGACAATTTGCATATTAGGCTTTTATTATATAGGATAGGGCATATCAAAGACCATTGATAAAATATGCCTGTGTTCCCCCATAATAAGATAAATGCACCTGTAGCACATCTAACCAAAGTTGTGCCGCTGGCAAGACATTTCAAAAGAAAAAAGGCCTGGCTGGCATAGCTTAGTGAATGAGCATCATCCTATGAACCAGGAGGTCACAGTTGGATTCCCAGTCAAAGCATATGCCCAGGTTGTGGGCTCATTCCCTCGTGTCAACCATGCAGGTGGCAACCGATCAATGATTCTTCCTCATCATAGATGTTTCTATCTCTGTCTCCCTCTTCATTCCTCTGAAATAAATTTAAAAAAAGAAAGGTGGTCTATGAACACCACTAAAACTGTTATTCACAGCATCATAAATAATGATCATCACTGCTACAAAGATAAGTGGCATGTGGGCGGAATGGAAGGGACACAATAGAACATAAGCTCTAAAAGGTCAGGGATTCTTATTTACCTTTGACCAGAGCTATATGCTGTGTTTACAATAATGTCTGACATGTAGTCGATGACTGAACAAATAAATACAAGCAGCTATTTCCATAAAGACAAAATATACACAAAGCAAATTGTTAAACAACCACTTAAAGAGGTGGGAATGAAGTAGGGGAAAAAAATCTACCAATGTCACAATTCAAAGACTGCAGGAAAGTTGGGGAGAAGGGATATTGCTATAACAGGATGATGGAGTATTCAATTATTTTGAACTAGAGGCCCGGTGCATGAAATTTGCCCCCAAAGGCAGGAACCATAAAGAAAAAACTGCTAGAGTAGATATCTTAAAATTAATCTCTGCTGGACATGGCACCATGCCGCTTCCAGCACCAGATACCATTCCCCTGCTGGTCTGGTCCCTCCCAACTGCCCTCCCCTGCTGTCATGATCCCCTCCCCCAACTGCCCTCCCCTGCCGGCCATCTTGTGGCAGCCATCTTGGACCACATGGGGGAGGTCATCTTGTGTGTTGGAGTGATGGTTAATTTGCATATTATCTTTTTATTAGATAGGATACCTTCAGTAGGCAGTAGTGTTGAAGAGAGAGAAGCCTTCCACAGAGCCAGACCACTTAAGACAAAAGAGGCAAATGGGTCCCAAGGAGCAGTCTTCAGAAATAAATAAGGTCAAGTGAACAGTAAGTATATTTGTAGTTAGACCCTGAACAAATAAAGATACACAGCTATGATATGGAAAATGAGGGTCTACTTTCAGAAAAATGAGGGTTCTGCCAACACTCTGAGCTGCTTAGTCCTTGCTGGAGATCTGTATATTTTAACACTGCCTCGCCCTATTCCTTAGAAATCTCAGCATTTAGCACAGTGCCTACCACGTACATGACAATCAGCATATGATTGTGAAGCATGATGAATGACTAATTCAGCGGCTTACAATGGCACTAACCACACTGTGAAATGGGAAGATGCCTAAGAAACTACCTATTTTTCCCCAACAAAAACTCTTCCACCTCTCTGGATACCCTACTGTCCAGGAATCCCTTTCTATGTGCTAGGTAGGTACTCTACCCCATTCTAAGCTCTATTGAGGGGTGTTGCAATCTCTACCCCCTATACTAGCAATAAGTTTCAGAGAGAGTCCAATATCAGGGACAAAACATTTAATAGTAAAATGTAAATAAAGGATCTGTAAACACAGATGTCTTTTTAAGGTGCCAGTGTATATTGCATAACCAGTAAAAGGAAGAAAGTGAACAATACTGGGGGGGGCGGGGGGGAGAAGAAGAGTGAGGGGTAACCAAATAGG